GTCTGGATAAAACCTAAAATCTCGTGGGCATTATTTTGAAGTCCGATTAACCAAACCGGAAAAGGTTGTTTTTTTCTAAAACCGGTTGCGGAAGTAAAGCGGAAGTGACTCAATAATCTCTCATTTTGAAGCATGCTTGAATGGAGGTGACCTTAGTTATTATCAAACAGTAACGTGAAGTGGTGACGGCGGCTTCCAGCGGGTAGAGCTCGATAGTTTAGATGCTGCAGAGCTGAATCGTTCCTGAAACGTGTGAGAGCAGGACGAGCAGACATGGCGGACGGACATCAGACGCGCGTGCAGAATGTGGTGGAGGAGATGGTCCAAAGCCTGGAGAGAGACCACATCCGGAAAATGCAGGTGTGTGTCTGTGTGATTCTCTGTGTTTTGAGTGTGTGTTACTGCATGTGTGTGTCTGTCTCTGTGTCCTCCGTGTCGCTCACATGTCCCCTCCCTCCCCCTCGCAGGGTCGCATGTTCCACTGCAGCGCAGACTGCTGTGAGCGCTCCACAGACTCCATGTCCCAGGTGCATCAGTGCATCGACAGGTGCCACACGCCGCTGGCCAAAGCTCAGGGTCTGGTCACCTCAGAGCTGGAGAAGTTCCAGGTGAGATGTCATCACCTCCGAGCAAACACACTGCAGGGTCAGGCCACATGTGATCAGTGATCATTATAAGGACTATTACTCACAGACCAGAGCTCGATTCTTCCAAAATAGGCCACTTCTCTGTATATTTCTCTGTATCTATATACCCTGTTAATTCAAGAGAGAGACCGCTTACCTTCAGCCAGGCCAAAGAGTCTCCTCATGAATCACTATTTTCATATATGCCAAGAGAGAAAAAGAAAGAATGTAGAACTCCCACATAAAAATCTATATCATTACCTCGTCCTTTTTCTTATGAAAAGAAGTTAATGTACAGGCCTCACTTGGAGAAATATTTTTTCTATCATGATACACATCTGAAAGAATGTGTCCAAGTCACTCAGCCTTTAAAATCATTTCAGAAATAATTGAACCTTATTTTGTCTTAGAATTAAATATTAAGGACAGAATAAAAATTTGTTTTAGCCTCTTAAACGTGCCCTCAGCAAACCATGTTTTATCTCGTCTCTGCCCCCCCACTCAGGATCGACTGACCAGATGCACGATGCACTGCAACGATAAAGCGAAGGACCTGTTCGATTCCGGCGCCAAGGAGACGGCTGTTCGATCACTGATGGACCACTGCGTGGGCAGTTGTGTGGACGACCATCTTAGCCTGATCCCCAGCATGACCCGAAGAATCAAAGAGAATCTGGACTCTTTAGAGCAGTGACGAGCGGGACGGATGGCGGCGGTCACATCTTGGAGATACCACACACACACACACACACAAAGTAGCGCAGGGTTAGTAGCCTCAGCCAGTTTGAGCTGTAACAGAAGAGTGGAGGAGCTGGAGCATCATTAACCGTTAGCGAGAAGTTTCACAGGCTGTGAGTCTGAGTTTTGGTCGTGTGCAGATTTAAAACAGATTTATTATTGTTCCGTGTGCTCTTACATCTGAAGCCACCCTCGAGACTGGGCGCTTAACATTTTTAATCTTGTTCGAACTTGAACGAGAAATAAATCCTGTGATAAATGTGTGTGATATCACAGATATCACGATATCAGCTCGCAAATGCTTGAAGTGTGTTCTTTTAAGAATTGGTAAACGGCCATATTTAATCTCTGAAGTTACCACCATGAGCCTCCTCATCCCTCGCTCATTTTGATATTTTTACTGTGACATGTTCTGTGATTGTCTCATCTCCTCTGGTGAGAGGTGTTCATATGACCTAATTAAAAGTACTGTAGATGGAACTGTTTTATGATTACATTACTTCCATATCAACAACACAAGCTCTGGCAATGATTAACACCGGTCTTACGTTTGTTACTTGTATTTTAACGACAGCAAAATGATATAGTAAATGATGGTACAGGAAGGGCCACACTGTGATTTGAGAACTGTCAACCTGTAGAGTTGATACAAATCCAAACCACTGCCAATGTTCATTTAGAAAAAGGTTTTACTTCACATTCATTGACGCGGTGTGTCTGCTGAATTGAGTAAGAATTGAACAGGATCAGCAACACAGAACATAACACATCAAGCCCTTGAATAAGAGTCAGCAGATGATACAAAGTTCATATAAGATTTTACACAACGAGGGAACGATGGCATAGTTTTATTACTGGATAAAAAGAGCAGGTGACGTGTGGCATTTTGATAATCTCTGATAGAAATAGTTATTATAAACCCCAGATTAACAAGTGACAGACTTCAGAGGTTCAAGTCTTGGATGATAATAGTCCTCTCTAATAACACATAGAAAGTCTTTAGCAGCCAGGAATTGTTTTACATAAACCATCTGAGCAAATGACTGGAGCTCTGAATTCTGGAGAGGAGCCAACTGAAAACAACATTGGTGTCACCTACACACTGATCTTAAAGCCACGCTGACGGGGGTGGGGGTGCTGTAAAACAGACAACACATCATCCTGTTTAAATTCAAGAGAATAAACTATTGTTGCAGATGAAAGAAGCAACTGTCCTCAAGTTCATTTTCTAAAAAACAAACAAATGCAAAGTTAACTTTGTAAAAACCGATACTGTGATAGCACCACAGCCCATTGAACGGGCAGTTTTAATGGCAGTTGAGTATTGTGTACATGATTTACTTAGAAAAAAAAAAAAAAAGAAAGTCCATACAAATACAAATGAAGTAAAAAAATAAATAAATGCCAAATAAAAACAGTTGACAAACCTGATGACAGTTGGAGCTATACAGGTGAGTTACACAAGAATGTATTAGCTGTACAATTTACACGACTGAAAACCCCCACATTTATGTTTTCAAAACATGAGGTAACAGATTTACAAAATAGCCGAACGTTATTTTTCAACAACTTAGCTGCAAATTTCTTTGTGTGGTGAGGGGAGCAGCAGTAAACGTCTGCTCACGCTCCCATGAAATGAAGAGCGAGTGCACTGCAGAGGAAGAACTGTGTCGCTGGTCGATACAGCTGAAAGTGAATATTTCAGGGAGCTGGTGTCTTACGTCTATTTTTTATTCATATCAACTTAATTTTAAAGTCCGGTCCTTCAGGGGTCAGTGATGCCACTTCCTGCACTTAACTAAAGAGGTAGTGAACTTTCTGACCTGAAGAGCTTTAACAGAAGTTCTTGGTGAAGAATAACATTAGCAGACAAACTAGGACCTTGAGACTCATATCAGGTATTTACATCCAACCCTGCGAGATCCAATCACAAGTGAATCACTCAGGAGGGATGTTTATACCAGATCTTAACCAATGGACCTCGTAGAGTTAACAAGTTAAAACAGCTTACACCTTTTACGTGTTTGCTATTTGGGTTCTGCTTCACTGAGCCAAAAATTCAAGTCAATACAAGTAACAAATTGGGAACAGAATGTGAAAAGTGTCGACCCACTTCAAAACACACCCGTGGACTCTGGACCACACCTCTGTGCACACCCCGAGTGAATTGTAAATATGATTAGAGGAACAAAAGACTGAAACCTTCCCGTATAAGTGAGTGCAACAACTGCTCTTCTAACACGATTATACATTTTGAAAGCTCAAATCGATCTTACTGATGCAGTTATCAGGTTTTCTGAGGTATTGACCTCTGATGGACAATTGATGACCATCTGTTGTGTTTTCTTTCACCGTGAGTCACGTGTATTTAAATTAGGGCAAATTAAATGGACAACATTAACAGAGATTTTCTTTTTTCCATGAGTGGACCTGAATTCCATTTGACCTCATGGATGTCCCTAAGTCTGAGGTTTGCTCTGCAGATGAGGCTTTTCAAATGTTCAGTTTCAGCCTCCGGTGATGTTCATACATCCAAGAATGATAGTGTTCCCACAATTATCGACAAAACCAATTCCATGCTAGTTTCGATAATACACGTGTGAGGTGAAACTCTTCCAGGGTCGTCACAAAAACACCAGATCTAAACACCACAAAGCCATTATGACTATTTCACACTGAAGTGAGGAGTCCAAAGCAAAGTTTCATTACCTCAAGATAAATGTCGTTTTTCATTTTGATCAAAGGCCCAACATCTCAATGGAGACAGTTCATGACAAACATTTGAGGACGAGTGAAGCTGCTCTGAAGGTGGAGTGTGGCCTGATCTTTCCTGGCCACTGTGATGTGTCTCTGTCACACAGTAAACTCAGAATGTGCCAAAACACTAAATACATTGACACAAATCATTTTCCAATCCCACCTCACTGAGGTACAGAGCATGCAGACGATATGTCCCATGTGGAAATGGTGTTGAATATGGTGGTGGATTGTACATACAAGCTTGTGTCAGTGTCCTGGCTTCACCGTGAGAATGGCAGCGGGTGGACTAGCATCAAGACACACAGCGAACAGTGCTGTCTTGCTCTGAGGAATCTGGACGGTTGTCCAACTGTGGCGACGTATACAGGAAGTTGCAGCACACGTAGAGGGGGAATGATAACAAGCGGCTGTCCAGGTTCATCACCACATACTCCTGAGGGATTGAAGGGAACAGGAGAATATTTAAAAAACCCTCCAATTTAATTCAGTGACAGTTGAGTCATATACATCTGCAGCCATATATTCACTGACCTGGTCTTTCTCGAGGGTGAGGAGCTGGTAACCCGTCGAGCGACTGCAGACCAGCTTTCCACGGTTGTCAAAGGAGGCGAGACGTAACCTGCACACATAGAAATTATATAGTTGAAATAGTTGGACAATTTAGTTTGATGGCTTGTTGATAATACGCATGCTTTAAATCCAGAGAATGTTTGAAGTTTGACTGCACCACTGACCTGTAAGCCAAATGCCTCCGGGGTTGCAGGCTCACAGCGCCCCCACATGGCTGACTCAGGGTATTTCTTTTGAAAACTATGAAGCGGTTTGTGTAAGTCACCAACAAGTCAAAGCCGAAGTTAAAGCCTGTCCACCGCCAGCAGTACTGAGGACAGGAAAAACATCACAGTAACCTGTCCCTGTACAGGAGCCTGTAAGGGTTAGTGTAACAGTGAAACTGTCAGACTCACATCTCCATCTTTGGTCAGCTTCCTGCCACACCTCATACTGCTCAGCTCAAACTCCTCTCTGTTGGCTTCCTGGGGACTAGAGACAGATGGATTCCTCTGTAATCACAACTTTAAAACAATATTATATACCTACAGTTATTGGGGTCATACGATGATAACGCTCAGTCTAAGACACTCACCCGTTGTCATTGTCAAACTCCGTCCGGAGCATTGCAAACCACTGGTTTTTGTAAACTGATGTTAGCCAATCTAAAATAGAAAATATAACAGAAGAATGTGAAAATGAAGAAAAAATATTCAGTGAATCAACACATGGATAAGGCTCTTCCTAAAAATATAGATGACATTGTTGACTGCTACTGCTTTATATCTAGTCTGCTAGTTTCTTAATGCAGCTGACCATAACAAGAGATAACTTAAGCAAGTAAATCAAACATGGAAACAGAATTTTGGCAAAAGAATGATCAACTGAGTCACATGACGGTCCATGAAAACTAAATGTAACCATTAAAATGCTCCTCTTCTGTTCTGTTCTGCTGTATTCAAGCAACAGGTAATGAATTTAAAGACCTAAAGATGCAGATCATAAGAAAGCAATGTCAGAAAGAACCAAATCTTACCAGAGGGCAAAATATTATCTCTCTCCAGGATGCGTGCAGATGCCAAATCGTTGATGATGTACTGGAGACGAACGTATTTGAACACCGAACAAAAAGATGCACCATCGTCTGTGTTCAAGAAGGGCTCTCTCTCACACATGTCTGCAGAGCAAGGTTAAGTGAATGAGTCAAACATCTGCGTGTGGGTCTTTAACAGCAAAAAGGTGATACTATTTAATGAGATGCAGGTTTAAAAGTACCAGTCCTGCGCTTGCACAACCAGGCATCAGCATCAGCCAGAAGCTGCTTGATGGGACCGTCCCACGATGGATTGAGTTGCAGAAACATCCACTTCAGAGAGAGAAAATGATTAAGCTATTAGAAAAAAACAAGTCTAATATAATACAAATAAACACGTTGAGTGAAAAGCACATTACATTTCATCCTACCTTTTTCAGAGCAGTGTATACATCCATCTCCACCTGCATTACAAACAGGTCTGAGGACTGAATGAGCTGCTCCATCACCTCAGCTCTGAAATCGCAGCGCAGACACAAATGTTATTATCGTCACAAAGATTTTACACTGTGGTTCGAAATATTATTACTCAACACAAAGAAGCCATTTTATTTAGCAGTGTAAATTTAGATTTCCTGATCCTCAGAGGAGAAACCAAATCATCACAATTATAATTTAAGAAAAGACACAGACTATACAATGAGAAAATAAAAGTTAAAAGAGTTGAGTACACAAACCCAAGTTCTTTCATCAGCTCCACATTTTGGTGGGTCATCAGGTTGTTCAGAAGCCACTCAAGACACCTATAGCAAGAGTTAAAAAAACAAATATATCATAAATTACAAACGTGCCTATTGATTATTAATCTAATTAGAATTAGATGAAATAAAATCTGACTTTTTCATGACTGAATCCAAGCCGTAGATGCTGGCACAAGCATAGTAGCCGCACACAGTCTTTGCACTGATGTTTTCCTTCATGGTTTCTCCACACTGCTGGATCAAACCGTCCTGTGGACAACAAGCCACGAGATCTGATTAAGATTCATTTAATATGACTCCATTTATGGAAAAGCTAAACTGTGACTTTGCATTTGCAACAATAACTGACTTCTTTCGATTTACTGACCAGTTGTAACATGCAAGCAGCGGCAAGAATACTGACGACTCTGCTGGGCTTGATCAGAACATCGTCCCGGTACAGGGATCCAAATACGACCTGTAGAGCTACACGCATGCAACAGAAAAGCTGTCAGTAAAAAAACAGAAATGGTCGACAGTTGCTTTCTGTGATTTATGTGCTTTCACCTTCAGTGTCGATGTTCTGGTCCGGGATCTCCAAGCCAATTTCCATCATGTTTGACTCTTTCCAAGAGCCGCTAAACATACTGGAAAAATATCCCGACTGCAAAATGCAAGAAAAACAAAGAATTAGTACAAAATGAAAATGATGACCCACATGAATAAAAAAAAACCACTGACTCTCTTTGAGGTGTTTCGTTTCATTGTATTTTACCTGGCACAGGTAAACTTTGTGCAAGTTCCACTCCTGCCCCAGAGCACAGATGCGAATGTCGCTGTTTTCACCGTTCAGGAATAAGGTCTGATAAATGTACCTCGATGTGCATTTCAGTTTCTTCCTGCTCAAGTTTGGTAAACCCCAACAAACAACAGAGGAGAGACAGAAGCAATGGTGAGACAGAACACTGATGACTAAAAGATATTTCACACAGAGCTGATCATTGGACTTGCCTGCGAGGTGTATCCAGTATGGCATCATCCTCCTCTTGTTCACTGTCACAGTCACACGGGGCATTTCTTTTCCTCTTCTTGCACTCACAGCTGCGTCTGCGGCTGGTGCTTGTGCCCTCTACAGCTTCCTCTGGAGCCTGAGAGGGCGACTGGAACCTGCTGCCCAGACTTCCCATCTCTACCCTTTCCATAAGACACGTAACAAACAAAACAACAGCTCAGCTGCACTGTATCGTCACGATGCACTCAGTCTGTGTTAATCAATATGAAATCAATATCAAGAGAGCATACGCTGTTAGGGACTTTGGCTTTTGGAGTATTGCAATAGCTTGTGTTGGAGTTTTCTGTTAGTCCTACTGGCAATGGATTTAATTCCTGATACTGATTTATTTTTTGATTTATTGATGAAACCACAGTAAAACATATCAATAACTATTGCAGTATAATCAAGAGCAGAATACAAATCAATTGTTTGTCCTTCTGTGCTCATAAAGAAGAGTTTAAAATCACAACCTTAACTCAGAAGGAAAATTAAATCCATGTTTAAACCCTAAAAGGAATAATACCGTGACATGAAATATTTTAACCTGATGTAATACTTGGCCATACTGTCCACCCTTCATTCGGTCAATAAAAATGTCTCATTATACAGAGAAGTGAACATTGCAGTTTTGCAGATCCAAACTGACACTAAAATCTTAAAATATTATTTTAATATGAATACAACGGGAAAAAAAGATGCAAATTCACACATTAGTAAAACTTGAAAAAACAATTCTCTCTTAAAACTGCATTAAAATGATTCGGAGATCTACTTATATTGACTTCTTTTACTGAAGTTTAGAGATGTGCAAGGCAGCAAAGTGTTCTGTAGAAGTTTGTTCAAAACTTTTATATCTAATCTTGTCAATAATGGTTTTTCCACCACTCAATAACATTGTGTAGTGAAATACTCAAGAACAGAAGACGATGGATCAGACTTGTTGTTGTATCGTCTGCCTTCTTAACTGACAGAGAAGTAAGATGTGCTCATAGATTTCTCGACACTTGTATTTACTTGACTGTGCGAGTTTGGGGGAATGACAAACAAAACAAAATGGACTTTCATTAGCTTCACCTGACAATAACAAGAGTCTGATGGAAGAGCTCCCTCCTTCAGCATCTTCCAAACACATGGACAGAGTGTCACACCAACACAACACCCACCTGATGATCAGCTCCGGGCAGACGGAGGCAGAGGGTCGAGGTTAATTAAACAGTAATCACCGACTGACTGTGCCCCGGTCACAGCGTCTGTCAGACACCGACGAGCCAGCTGAGGAGGAGCGAGCCTCAGTTAGCTCCAGAGCTAGCCTCAGAGCTAACCGCAGAGATAGCTGAGCGCACACAGAGGAAGACGTGTGAGAAGAGGAGCAGCGTTTCTCCTGACGATCAGCTCCTCCACACGGAAACCCTCCTCGGTTCAGTCACATTTTTCTGAATCGGAGTTGTAGTGAACCCAGAGAGGACAGAAGATGAGTGAGAGCCTGGCTGTGCTTTTGTTATTCTTCTTCTTCTCTGGAGAGTCGGGAGTAGCGTGTCTACGTCACGGGATGATCTGCTCAATGACGCCCCCTACTGTCGCCACCGCTTTGTTTTTCACTGTAATATCTTACAAGCCTCACACCCTACACTCTTAAACACAGGGCTGTAATCTTGGATATTTGGGGAAATATATAAAAAAAATATTGAAATTAATTTATAAAATATAACACTGACAAGCATTTAGACCCTTTGTTTTGACACTTAAAATGTATTGATAGATATGATTAATATATCAAGTTAATCATGTTGACATCAGTCCTTATCAATAATTATCATGATAAATCTCACATTATTATTGTTTTTTTTAGTTTTAAGACTAAGATTTTCGCTCCTGGGTAAAGGTTGTGTTGTGTTACTTTCCTTATGAGCGCAATGCAAAAACATTTTACAAATCTTAGGTATAGTGTTAAAACATGCTTGCGTGATGCATAAGCATTTTATCGATATACATACATACATGTTAAACATTTGTTATATTGCAATTGATGACAAAATATATTTGAAATATTATTGATATTGTTTTATTGACCGGCCCTAAGGCCACATGCATCAAAATTATGTCTCAGCAATGAGAAACAACCAGAGGAGAAGGGTCATGGTAACAGAGGTGACCAAGAACCTTATGGTATCTCTGGCTGAGCACCAGAGAGTCTGTGTGAAGATGAGAGAAACTTCCAGGGGATAATGAAAAGTAATGAAAAGCTTCAGTGTGCACACCTGGTTGTCCCCCGGTCAACCAGTTCACCGAAGTCTTTCATGTCGCTCCAGTTCAGACCACAACAAAACATTTCACACCCTTCAACACTTGCAAACAATTTTAAATAACCCAGATCCTTACACACTGAGTGGAGCTCAATAACCGCTGAGTTGGAGAAAGTATTTAGTCTGCAGCCATCTGCAATGACCCAAACATACACCACCAGTTTCTACAGACAGCTCATCAGAGGTGGTCACCTTTTGAGCTTCAGCAGAACATCAGCAGATATTTGCTCAACACCGAAAATAACCATCTAAATTGACAGTACAGACAAATAAATCTGCAAATAAATGAATATTAGTTAGAAAAATATAAAACAGTTCTTTCAGACAGTATGTCAAAAACAACATATAACAAAAATATAAAGGAGAAAAAATCTTTAAATTGAAATAGAAATCGTGTCAAATTGGGAGTATTGACCAAATTATACCTATTTTTTATTAATTAATTTAATTTATTTATTTTTTAGTTTTTTTTCCTTTTTTATTTCACAACAAATTATTTCATATTGTTTTGCCAATTTGATTGTTTTTAGCCTTTATTAATATTATTTTATGTTATGTTTGTCATCTGAATATCTTCAAGCATGTTTGTTAAATGTTAAAAAATAAATAAAATATAAACAAACATATTAAAAAAGTAATTGAATGGACACATGGTGAAATAAAGGTGTCAAAGATTCATTTGTTTTATTTGGTACATTATTTATAAACAGCTGCAGTCGGATGTGACGTATGAGGTGCTCCTTGTGGTGGGTGGGACTATAGTAGGAACCAGCCAATGAACGCCGAGCACCTCTTTCACAACATTCCAATCCCGCCCACTCCACCTTCCTCCTCCTCTTCCTCCTCTGCAGTCACCAGTCTATGTGTGTACGTGCGTGTACGTGTGCGGGACTGTGACACGTACCTTGGTCCGTCTCTCTGTGACGAGACCTGGCAGGAGACCTTCACCTCGGCCAGGCTGAGCACAGAGATCCCCCCTCTGCGTCCTGAGATCCGGAGCATTTAGCAGCATGGAGACGAGGGAAGCAGCCGCAGGTGAGGCTGGAGTCTGTGGTGAGAGTCAGTGTGAGTCTGTGTTGTGGTTCAGTCAATGTAATAACCAGTTAGACCTGAAGTTAACCCGGGATAAGCTGTAGAATAAACCGTAGCAGTGTATAAACATGGCTGAATGCTGCAGCTTTCAGGTCTTCTGCATAAAGGACGATGGATTTAGAAAAAATCTCACACTTTGACTTTTTACTGTCTCAAACTCTAGGTGCTCTTGTGAGCAGCGATGGGGAGGAACAGGCTGCAAGGAAGGAGGCAGCTCCTAAAAAAGACCCAACACCACCCACCAAAAGCAAGATGGAGCAGCTCTTTGGGTTCAAGAAGGAGGACCTGACCTCCTGGCAGAGCCTGGTGACCCTCCTGAACCGACCCACTGACCCTGCATCCCTCGGCATCTTCCGCTGCTTGTTTGGTGAGTTCAAATTAAATTTGATTTGTGTTGCCCATATTCACAAGAGTGAGGGAACACTACAAAAAAAACTTTTATCTGGGGGAAAAAAGAAACCTCAGAGGGAGTCGCATGTGAGGGATCCCTCTTCCAGGACATTACCATTGCACATCAGCAAAATAACAATATATACAATATTCACGAGGGTAGACAATGCCGAACATTTATGGAGAGGTGCATCAATGTTTAAAGAATTATACAAAAGAAAAAGTGTGATGAAGGGAGCAGTGATGACGATGCACTCACCAGGTCTGACTGACCCATCAGCAGGTTTTAGAGCTCTCAGCTGCCGTCATTAGAAGTTACTAGATCACACATGGAGGCAGGAGCTGGAACATTCAATTTAAAAACAATCAGTAAAATCATTTCCAAATCTCACACATATCCAGCAAAGGTCTGATGATCGTCCTTTAAGAGAGGCAGCAGCAGCGCTTCAAATCTGCTTTAGTGTCCGGATGGTTCAACCTGCTGATACCAGAGTAAAGAGCATTGCAATAATTCAGTTTGGAGGAGATACAAGTCAGTAAAGTTAATTTGATGAAGTGTCAAAGCCCTTCACATGGGGAAAAAGCAGGATGGCACATCTTACATGCAGCTAACATAGCATCCTCCCTCATCATGCTCAAAATGCATGATTCTTCTTTGCACTGCTGTGGACAACAAAACAACATTTCATTTGCACTCCCTGAGATTTAGAAAATGTCGGAGAATATTAGAAAAGTAAATAGAGAATAGTGTAAGGTGTTTATAAAACATAATTATATATGTGCATATATTAAAAAAATAGTCTGCAAATAAACCATAGATAATCAGCAACATTGTTGAGTGACTGCACGATGGTCATTTGTCTTTAACGCAGGTTTGCTGATGCTCATCGACATCACTCAGGAACGGGGCCTCAGTCACCTGGACTATAAATACCTGGACGGGGCCCCCGTGTGCCGCTTTCCCCTCTTCAATTTTCTACACCCCCTCCCGCTGGACTGGATGTACCTGGTGTACGTGGTGATGTTCCTCGGTGGGTCACACACTCAGTCTCGTTTTAAATCTCACGCCCAGCACATTTGAAAGGTTCACACAGTGTTTACAGAGTTCTGGCGAAGAAAGCTGTCCCCCTTCTCTTCTGAGTTTTTGCTGATGCAGTCGTTTAACAGGAGACAGTCTCTGTGGGGCGGCTGTCTATGGTGAAGATAAAAGCACATACACCAGATGGGAAATTTTCCACTTATATTTTCCCCTTAAGGCAGCAAGATTACTGCAAGATGGTGACAACAAATTGAGTAGTTTGTGCAAGAAGGAAAACAGGAAGCAGAACACAATGACAATCAAAGTAAATCAATGCTGATGAATGTCTAGGGACACAAACCAAATAGTGTGAAGGGTGGACACACTAGTTTGGGAGTCAACATGTGTCTTTAGTATAAAAACATTTATGTTTACCTTGATTTCACCACATCCATAAACTGTTGGTGGATTTCTCACATTCCTGACATACTAAAACCTCCAATAAAACCTTGTAACTGGTACTTAAACACAGGGCTGTAATCAAATATTATTCATGTATAATCTGTTCAGTGTATGTGCATAAAAACATAAATCAGTATTTTGTTGCAAACAAATCAATCAATCAATATTCATAGCAGATACTATTAGTATCGTAACTTAAGTTGTGTGTTTATGTTTGTAAATGAAGGCGCCCTGGGCATCATGCTCGGCTGTTTCTACCGTCTCTCCTGCCTGATGTTCATCTCAACCTACTGGTACATCTTCTTCCTGGACAAAACGACCTGGAACAATCACTCGTACCTTTACGGCCTCATCGGGTTTCAGCTCACGCTCATGGACGGCAACAGATACTGGTGAGATGACGTTTTTTGTGTTTCTGTGTTTCTGATCCTCACAGAGGGAGATGTTTAAAAACCTGTGTGTATTTTTAGGTCAGTCGATGGACTGTGGAGACCTTCTATAAGAAACAGGCACGTGCCTCTGTGGAATTACACTTTGCTGAGGACACAGGTTTGTACTTCCGTGCATTTTTAAATTCCAAACTTTAATCATTCATGAAAACACATGAGTACAGCTATTACGTTTTTTTCTTTTTTTAAAGATATTTATAGTTTACTTCATCGCTGGAATAAAAAAATTGGATGCTGATTGGGTGGAGGGATACTCCATGTCCTACCTGGCACATCACTGGCTTTTTGATCCGTTCAAGTAGGTTTCACGAAGCAGCTCAGTCTGCAGTTATTTCAGCTTTTAATTGACTCATGTTGGAACCTCAGTGCACCTACTCAGATCCACTGTACCAAACATTATTTTTCCAGAGTGATTCTTCCTGTGGAGTTAGTGAGTCTGCTGGTGGTGCACGGAGGCGGCCTCATTCTGGATCTGACCGCCGGCTACTTGCTGTTTTTTGATGCCACAAGACCTTACGCCTTTACCTTCGTCTCCTACTTCCACTGTATGAACTCTCAGCTCTTCAGCATCGGTTAGTCTGTCGCTTCACTTCACTGAAAACAGGTTGAATATTTAAAACTCTGTCTTTCTCAACGTATTGTCTTGTATTCTCGTCCTCAGGGATGTTTCCCTACACAATGCTGGCCACCAGTCCTCTCTTCTGCTATGCCGACTGGCCCAGAAGATTCTTCTCCCACTTCCCAGCGTTCCTCAGCGGGGTGTTGCCACTCACCTCGGCAGATCCTCAGCCCAGCACCTCCTGTGTTTACCATGAGATCCAGAGCCCCGGTGCTGAAAGCCAGGAGACCCCACCTGTTACCAAATCTTCCAAACTGAGATTTAAGCACAAGCTGGCAGCCATTTTCACAATTATCTACATCATTGAACAGTTGTTCCTGCCTTACTCCCACTTCATCACAAAGGTATATGAGTCTCTTATGGTTCTTAGCCTCAAAGAGCTTGTAATTGCTTCATGAATTACATTACAGTACATTTACCTCACCTACTTTCTGCCTGAATGGACCTAACTTTCTTATCAGCTAAAGCCTCCTGATCTGTTTGAGTCACCAGACTGAGAGTTGCTCAATCAGAGTCAACAGTCTCTGGTCTACAGCAAACAACAGATCAGCTGATGTTGACTGTAGAAAAGTATTATCAAGCACAAATTGCTCATTTTAATCTTTGTTATTTGTTCATTTAAAATCTTGGTTAAACTTAATAAAAAACAGGTGATTATTACCTATTAATATGAAATTATCCCAAAACATTTTTTTTATAGGGTTACAACAACTGGACCAATGGCTTGTACGGCTACTCATGGGACATGATGGTTCACTCCCGCAGTCATCAGCACGTTAAGATCACATACAGAGATGGAAAAACTAGAGACGTGGGATATCTGAACCCAGGGGTAAGTTTCAGGGGAAAACACCGGCAGTGAAGATGTTAGAGAGCATTCGATTAACTCATTCTTCTTCTCTAAACAAAATATATCATGTGTCATTAACATCTAAAAACATTATCAGTTTGAAATGACAAGTGACACCTCAGAATGTAGGCTCGAGGAGCCGGGGATTGAACCACCCACCTTCTGGGTAGTGGACGACCCACCCTACCTCCAGCAGCCCCAGTAACAGTCACATCGTCTGTGTACTCAAGGTTTTCACACAAAGCCGCCGGTGGAAAGATCATGGAGACATGTTGAAGCAGTACGCCACGTGCCTCAGTCACAATCTGCCTCGCTACAATATCTCTGATCCAGAAATCTACTTTGACATCTGGGTGTCCATCAACGAACGCTTCCAGCAAAGGTACAGGAGAAAAAGATGTTATTATATTAATGAGTAATAATCACTTGTGTGTATGATACCAACATGCTGTGGACTCTTCTCTTTTAGGATCTTTGATCCCCGTGTGGACATTGTGAAGGCTGATTGGTCTCCTTTCATACCAAACCCGTGGCTGATGCCTCTGCTGGTGGATCTGTCTCCCTGGAGGACCAAGTTCCAGGAGATCGAGGGCAGTCTGGACAATCAGACAGAGATCGTCTTTATAGCTGATTTCCCAGGTCAGGAATTTGCCTCCTTGTTCTTTCTGTTCACACAGATGGAAAAGTGGATTTTGGCTTGTAGCTTGGTTTGAGTAGACGTACTGATTCTTGTTTGTGCTCACTGACATTACGTCTTCGTGCAGGTCTGCACTTGGAAAACTTTGTGAGTGAAGATCTGGGAAACACCAGCATCCACGTGTTGCAGGGCACAGTGAACGTTGAGATAGTGGAGGAGAAAAGGAACATCAGTCTGCAGCCTGGTGAGCAGACAAAGGTACATCCCCTCATATCACCATTAACATTACACTGTGTAACCCAAACACTTTCAAGGTTCTACAATCATGTGAATGTGTGTAGGTTCCTGCTGGAGCGTATCATAAGGTGTACACCGTGTCCGAAGACCCTTCCTGCTACATGTACGTCTACGTCAACACTACAGAGGCAGCGCTGCAGGAAAACTTCACCAAGCTGTTTGAGCTGCAGGAGCGTATTCGCAATGGGACAGGTGAAAACAGCCGCAGGCAGTTAAAACCATGGGAAAAAACCATTGAAAATGTGTAAAATCTTTCTATTTGTCTGCTTATTCTATATAAAATAACTCCAAAAGATCACGTCTGTCAACTTGCTCAAGAGCTCATCATCATCAGATACTCACTGGATCTTCATTCCACAGAAACTGAGCCTATTCCTCCTGAGCTGCAGCCTCTTATTGCTGCTGACGATCACGATATGTCGGAGGTCAACGCCACCGACCCGATTGTGCGACTGTTCCTGAAGAGGCAGCGCCGCATGAAGGAGGTGAAGAAGCGCAGGGAAGCCGGCATGCTGGAGCGGCTGGAGCGTTTTTCTGTGAAAAAGTACTACACTATACGAAGGGGGTGAGTGAGAAGATGTCCAACCACGAAATGAATCCCTGAATATTCTGCATCTCATTGACTGGGTCCTCTTCTCTTTAAGATTCTTGATGACGGCCATTGCTATGAGGAACCTGGCGGTGGGCCTGCCTCCTGTGGAACAGCTGACGAGAGAAGTTGCCTTCGCCAACATGAAAGAACCTCAGGCCGAATCCAACCAGGACGAACGACTCAAAGACGAAATTGGTCACGGAGAACTTTAAAGCTGCCGCTGGCACCACAGTTACTCTGATGGATTGCGTGCAGGTGATCACACATTCCTAAGAAATGTGTGTGTTATAACTACTGGACTGTTACTATTTTGGGACTCTGCTGCCCAGGAATCAAAGATTTTAAAATTTTCTATGCTTCTGGAATATTTAGCATTTCAGATTGTTTCCATTAGTTTGTAAAAGCATTTGTCTATGGATCTGCAGTTTCACTAAGGACACATTTCTTTTTACAGCTGGCATAAAACCTGTACACTGTACATGATGACAGATGTGCACTGCTTCACCAAGATTACATTTCAATTTCTTTGTTTTTTAAAGTTTTATATGAATGCATAATGGCTGAATGATATGACCAAAAAGATATTTACAGTATGTTGGGATTCTTTAAAATCAGAGCTCTCTGTCAGATACAGTTTTCCTTTACATGATCTGCAGGGAGATCGTATTTTAACTACATTAATGCTGCTTTGTTTGGGATGAAGAGGAGGGAACCTGTTGTTCGTCTCCTTGGTTCGAATTTATGTTTCAGCTCTAATTTAGAAAATTCAGGCCTAATTATTCACAATTTTCTGATTTACAAATTCACACTACATGTGGAGGTTCACTCTGTTTTCACGGAACACACTTCTCAACGATTAACCGTAGAATGTGATCACAAACAGAAAACAATTATAAGCTCGTGAGTTGGCCGTCTGTTGATTCACTTTTGTAATGAAAATCTTATCCTGATGTTATTTTCATTAAAAAAATCCGCTGACAAAAGATGTTTTATGGAAATAATGAATTTTATTGGTGTCAGTCTTTTTTACATGTTGCCCATTTTAAAGTGCTACAGTTCAGTGTTCACTGTACGTCGACACTATGGCACATTAATAATCATTTACACATAATCAGAGCAACGTTACACAATATAAATACATAAATCAGTCCACAACATGGATCTCTAGGAAACTGTTTGATTTGCTTTAACATAAAATCAGGATCGGTTTAGTCGAGGTTAATAGTTCAAGATTCATTTCAGTTAAATATGCAGCTATCACTGTGCTGTAGTGGAGGTCCAGTCACATAAGAAAACACTGAAGGCTGGTCAGACGAGTGCTCAGTGTGTGAAGTGACAATATGCAACATAATGCTTCACTACACGTGATCGAAACGAGATGATCTGTAGGTTCATCATTAACAGGGAACAACATCAAGTCTTGAGTGTATTTCTAGTTCATATTGCACAGATTTTACTGGTTTCATCTTAAATCACACAAATCCCTTTACATAATCGGTGACTAATCACCACACTGAAAAACTGACCATATATATATATAAATTCAACATTAAATGCAAAATGACTGGTATTAGTGTTTGACACTGGCCTTTAGTAACTGTTTTCAGGAGACGTTTCCCTAAGAAGCTGGTTTTCATGATTATTTTCCCCTTCGCCAAATGTTTTCATCGCCATTTATCATCTCTCTGCCAGTGAACTAAAACTACTGACTCGATTTCCATGCAACTCTGTAGAGGGGTGTATGACCCAAGGAAAAAAACATTATATTTTGTAGCAGATCTGGATAAATAGGCAGCTCCAGGTTTATTCCCCCCACTTTCTTAAACATGGCGAGATAGGGCGAGGTATGGACTCTCAGAGCACCCGTCTAGTTCTAGGAGCAGAGAGGTTGTGTGTGGTGTAAAGCAGCAGTTCAAACCCTGTGATTAGTTCCAATGGGCTGTTCTTAAAGGCTCATATCTCACTGCTTCTCTTCCTCATGTTTCATATACGTGGGCAGAGCTACAGCGGGAGAAAGATAAGCATTAGGAGGCGTAACAAAGACACGGACGCCACCCTAATCCTCTCTTAAGTGTTTTGTCAACATCCACTTTCTACAACTGCAATGACGCCCGTCTGGAGCTCCACGTGTCTTTTCCTCACTCGCAGGTTGTGCCACATATTTCCAATCCACTTTGCAGCGACTGGCTCTGAGCCCTGAACCTGGAGATGGTCACCAGATCAAAGTGAGCAGCTCGTCCAGTATCAACACAGACATCTGATGGTGCATAGAGGCGGCAAGTATCACTGCCACAACCACCCACCAGGGCTCAATCATTCCCACACTGCTGTCATCACATTCATCTCACTGCACGACCTCAGCTGGCCCCATTCAGCTGCTAAAAACAGATCGAAAAGTGACATCACCGCTCCACGGCCCTGTGCTTTAGACTGACCGGACAAAAACGCGTCTCTCTCTGTGGCTTAATAACCGAACTCTCCAAAAATAAAAAAAAAATAAAAAATACTATTCTCCCTTCCTTCAGTCAACCTTTCAGTCATATTTCCATTTTTATCCTACATGTTTATTTAACTCTTTGCTTCCTGAAGAAAAAGATCATCAATTATAATGTATTAGATTAATCATTCCCACTACTTATCTTCTTGATTATTTGCAAGCTTTTCCTAGATATTTTGATTATTACATCTCAGAATAAGTTAATCTGCCTTACTGGTTAACAGTTAATTGTTATCGCTGAAAATAAATTGTTAATTTAAAACTATTTTTCTAGGAAGAATTAGTCAAATGTATTGAAACATGGGTCAGTACTAGGATAATATATTATTTTTCTGTGTTGAAATGTGGTGCCAGTGATTTATTGAGAGGTTAAGCACCTTTTTTAACATCTGGATTTTTTTGCTTTGGGAACTACAAATGAGGCTCAGTGCACCTTCACATGTTACGCCCTCGATGATACACACCGAAAATGGTGTGATAATATGGAGCACCCGTTTGCAGGGATGCGTCGTCGGATTCGGCTCCGCGACTCTACCTCGGCTGGAGATCTGGGTAGAAAACTCCATGTATCACACCTTCGATCACAACATTTGAAAATGCATCTGAAAGTGAAGAAGAAAAGAAAGTTTTTAGATTTGCAGTTAATTTACAATCAGTAATTCATAATTTCAACGATTCGAAGATTTTTTTATTTTCTGTAATTTTATAACAGTGCACATACTAAGCTTGAGCTCACCGTGTGCAGATGGCAGCAGGTAGGGGTCTCTCAGAAACAACATGACTGGCTGATGTGACAGTTTACTGAAAAGAGTCAGAAAAGGCGATGTGACACAGTTTGCGAGCAGTTTCATGCAGCGTATAAATTAACAGGATGAAAACACAGGGGCTGTCCCTGTCAGGTAGGCTGAAGGTCACAGGGAGAGCAAATAATGACTCAAGTCTGCACATGGTCAAAGTGCAGAAACGAGAACCTTTCAGACAAAAGTTTTAAAAAGATAATTAAAGATGAAAACAAAGTGACTCACCTTGATTCCTCTGATTCTGTATCAAATGACCTTAAATAAGGAAAATGTAAGTTTAGTTGTTCCGCCTTTCAGCAGCATGGGAACAAATCAGTCTTTTACTTTATAGAAAGGCTACAGTTTCAACTCACCCACAGCTTTCTGTTTTTGGCACTGAGGGAAAGTGGCGGATATTCAGGAAATCCAGGAATATCTTTGGAATAACCTCATTTTCCATGATTATAGTCTGAAAAAACGGCAAAAACAAAAGCAAATTGCAACGTTTGGTACATAACTGCATGTCTGTTTCTTTGTTGGTTTGAACTGTTCTACAATATGAGCTGTAGTTTATACAGCTACTCTGGTTTTGACATAATTTGTATTTGAAAAGACCGCATGCATGACAGTTATTTGTTCTTCCTGTGGAGAAACCGTCCCAGCAGACGGAGTGAAGGCATCACTGTACCTGCAGGTAGAGCTCCAGACCATGTCTCCTCTGCTCCAACACTTTAGGAACCCAGTTTCGAACATGTTTCGAAGGAATCTCAGGGGGCTTTATGCTCTTCTTTAGCTGGAGGGATTACAAAGCATCATTAAGACATGTGAACGACACAGCAGATATGTTAGCAGCTCCACGAAGAAGCATGTAGTCACTGAAGCTAGGAACAGCAAACAACATGGTTTGAAAAGAATAAATCTGATAAAACAGAATTTAAAAAAATAAGGCACATAGGTGCTTTGAGTCAAAGTAAAGAGTAAAACATTTTTATAGAAACACAAAAAAGACACATACAGAAAATATAAAAAATACAAAACTAATCAAGAATAAATAAAAAACATAAGAGGCCTAGTAAAAAGCAGTAGAAATGGTTGAATGGTTGTTTCAGTCAAAACAAAAGTGGACGACTGAGCGGTTACAGAGAGAGGAACTCATCTCTGAGGCCACAGAATGACAAACACATTTAAGTGGTTCACATGGTTAACCACCACATCTGCTAATTATTGGTTGACGAGATGATGATTTATTGTGCAGGCCTAAATATACACATTTTAATTGTTCACCAAT